ACTTCCTACCGGCCTGGATCAACTCCAACAACACTCAGGAAGCCTCATGCCATCCAGGACAAAGCAACCCAGTTGGTTGGCACCACATTCACAAGCATCCACTCTCTCCTCCACTGACACTCAGTAGCAGCAGTATGTACTATCCAGAAGATGTACTGCAGGAATTCACCAAAGATCCTCACTCAGCACCTTTCAACCCGCAACCATTTCCATGTAGAAGGACAAGGGCAGCAAATATATGGGAACACCACCACCTTCAAGTTCCCCTCTAAGCCATCACCATCCTGATTTGGAGATATATCGCCAGTCCTTCACTGTTACCAGGTCAGAATCCTCGAAGTCCCTCCCCATGAGCATTGTGGGTCTATCTGCAGAACATGGATTGCAGCGGTTCAAGAAAGTAGCTTACCACAAACTTCTCAATGGTCAGCAAGGGATAGGCAATAAATGCTGGCCACACCCCATTAAAAAAAAACCTGAGAGCCCTTTCTCCAGTGTTTCTAAGCCAGCATCTCTTCCTTACCCTTAGATAAAGTGAACTTAGGATTGAATTGTGGGATATTGCTGTGCACAAAATAGTTGCTGCATTTACATAGGTAACAATAGTGGCTACACCTTAAAGTAATTCACGTTATGCAAAGCACTTTGAAACATTTCTGCTAGATATGATAAGGAACTGCATAAGTGTCTCTCATTTCGTTGGTATAAAGCTGCTTACGTGATGCTATTAATTGTAAAATAGCAAAACTGGAATATCTACTGAGCGAGAATGACAGACAGATGATGTTGACAGAATGAAGAATTAAAAGGCAAATCCTATATTATCAGAAGGAAATGAGAAACATTCGTCTAATGATAGTCTGCTCCCTTAACAGAATGGGATATATTTTTCGAGAAGCTGAACCACCTCAAAGATTGAGGCTCAGGTATAAGTACAGATACAGACTAATTAGTTTCATACTGATTTGCATATCTTGTTTCCTTCCATTTACAAGGTTAGCCTTATTACAATCCTGACACTTTGGTGTACAGAGTATATACCAGGGAAGGATAATCACTTCCCCTCCTACACACCTAACACAGCCTTGATGGGCTGAATGGCCTCCATCTCTGCTGTACCTTTTCACAATTCTATAAGATACTTGCTTGCAGGCCAACTTAAATGCTTGGAACAAGCATTAGGGGAGCAGAGAGGTAAGTTATGTTGGTTTCTCTTAACACCGACAATGTGATGATTATACACTGGATCTAGAAAATTGAGGTAGTGAGCAGCTTTGCTATCTGTGTTGTGCCAGTTGGGATCTCTGTGGGACCCTGTGTCTCTGTAGGAAGGCACAGCAGCTTAGTGGTTAACACTGCTGCCTCACAGTGCTAGGGATCTGGGTTTGATTCCAAGGATAACATAGTGTGGAGCTGGAGGAGCACAGCAGGCCAGGCAGCAT